ATTGAGCGCATGGAAGAGAGAGACATGGGAATAGAAACTCGATACTGGCAACCCATATGGCTGGCAGTCCGCTGTGGCCCAGACGTTGGGTGTGTGAAATGGCCCTTTAGAAGTCCCAGAACTTCTTTCTACAAAAGAATCTCCCAGCGATAATGGTGGGCGCCGGGTGGGAGTTGTTTCCCCGCTGAGGGTGGGTTTTATATTATTTAGGGAAGGAGGGGTTAGGCTGATGGACATAGTGTTGTAAGGAGTGAATCTTTATAAAAGACACTTAATAAGAATGAAGGTAGTTATAATGAGGAGGTATGTAATAGCCAACTAAGCTTTGGCTGTGGATGGCCAGTTTGTAGGTGTTGACGAAGTAAGTAATACAGTAAGGAGGATGGCAATTAAGCCAAGAAAGGAAAGAGGCCAAGGGCTACAAGTTTCCTGTACTGAATCCAGGATGTTTGTTTGGATTTGGATTTGGGTGGGTGGTGAGTCGGGACAAGCGAAGTCTGAGTGGCTGTTCTGGAACCTTGGAGCAGGTGTACCTGTAGATAGGTGGACAAGTATTATTATGGGTGGATTGTGAGGAAGGAGGAGTGGCAGGTTTAAGACGGGAAATGTGAATCCATGGGGTAACCTGACATTGGGCTGTGATAAGTTTTGCTGCCGTGGGAGTGGATAAAACTACTTGAAGAGGTTCAGACCCCTTTGGGTTGAGGTGAGTTTTAGTTTCCGGGTCAGAAAAATAGACCCATTGTCCAGGAATAAGAGGAGGTGGGATTTGACCGTTGGACGAGACAGGTAAAAGGAGGTTTTGATATTCCCAAATGTGGGAACGAATGAAGGACAAGAGGGGGTAAAGTATGTGATTAGGTGTCAGAGGGGTTGTAGTGGGGACTCCTGGGGGCAGCGCTGGACGGCCGTACATCACTTCAAAAGGCGAGAGTTGGGACGGTTTTTTTGGGAGAACTCGCATGCAGAAGAGGGCCAGTGGGAGGAGGGAGACCCAGTCTCGATGGAGTTCGAGGGATAATTTGGTGAGAGTGTCTTTGAGGGTGCGATTGGCTCGCTCAACCTTTCCGGACGATTGTGGGTGGTACGGGATATGGAAATGCCAGTTAATGTGGAGGTCGGTTGTTAGGGATTGTACCACTCGTGAGGTAAATTCGGGTCCGTTATCAGACTAGAGAGATAAAGGGACACCAAACCTAGGAATTATGTGATTGGCAAGGATGGACCCTACAGTTGCTGCTCATTTGTTTGTGGTGGGGTATGCCTCTACCCATC